GCATATACAAAAAAAGCAAATTCAAAAGAAATCCGACTTGTTTGGACACAAACATATAAATATAGCTACGCTAGCTATGTTCTTGTAGCAACATGTTCTGAAAACGTGGATCCAATTCAGGTCAGGTACTTGGTTAATATATACGGATAAAGGAGTTGAAGAGCCAGCAAACAAACAAGGGCTAGCTTATAATGCACATTTGCACTGCTCATGAGGAAAGACCACCACGGCAGGGCAGCTCAGCTCTGAAAAGTTGAAAGAAATTAGAAGAGAGAGAGAGAGGGTGTTATATTGTGCTTGTTAAAAAGAAGCACATGCATGATCTATATGTATGTAGAAAGTGCACGAGGGGAAATCAGGCTTCTCATATCAATATGTTGTCATTGATCAGTGGGACTTGGTTGTTTTCCTACGTACTCTATTGTCTTTTAATCTACATTCATATATGTATAAATTCATATCATTGATCATCTAGATCCCCTAGCCTACCTTGCCAAACGTGCTAGCTACTTCAAAACTGACCCTCCCTCAACTTGTATTAAGCCAAACCTGTGGGTTCCATGCCCGTCAAATCCATAAGAAAAAAAAACAAGAACTAATTATTTAGCCACGCTTCTCATCCATTCAGGATTTGCTTTTGTTACAATATTACAAGGTTGGCTCTAGAGGAAAGAAGAACATTCATGCGACATGGATATCTCAACCCAATCGTTTAATGTTATACAAAAAGTTAAGACATGATAATGCGTGATTGACTTGAAATATCATCACAATATATATACTATAGCATTAGTGATGCATGTAGGGTTCTTTAGCTAAAGGGATATATGTATGGTGAAGCAATCGTCTCAGGTTCCCAATCTTTGAATTTCAAAAAATGGCTCCAACTCGGTTCAATTCCTAATCTTTTGCGATTATTATACAATATGAATTGTGATTAGGTTGGGTCTATTTCAGGTATGGCATAATATTAACGTAATATGCTCATTTTTTATTTATATAAGTTAATCTCTACTGGAATATTAAAATAGGGTGATCTAATTATGGATTATATTTAGGTTATTTTCTTTATTATCAAAGAAAGTCATGCAGTATTACATTAATACTATAGACATGTTGTTAAGTGGCCACTAATACAGGAGTTAATCATTAATTTAGGGGACTTGGGAATTTGAGTTTGACATTGACATTTGAGGTAGATGTTTTGATTTTATACTTGAATATGAGGTTGATGTTGTTAGTTATTTGTTAGTCACTAATTATCCGTTGACATTATATTTTTCAAAGCCATTTTCCTTGGCTAAAAGTCTCTTCAACCCTCTTGTTTTGTTTAATGCAATATATAATGTGAGGGTCAAACTCGCCAGCTACGTTTACATATCACATACATGTTTAAGATTAGAGTCAATGGTTCATGCATGTACATGTAGATTAATTATAATCTGGTTAATTAGCATAATTAAGCGAATGCATGACAATTATGACCAAGGATATGTGATGGCGTAAACATCAGCCAATTTGTTTGATATTTTTTTCTTATGCTAATTAGTAATTTAAGAAATTGAAAAAAGATGGTAGAATGATGTTGGTGTGTTGGATTGGATATGGTCGCAATCAACCAAATAATCTTAGCATTCGACAACGCTATACAACTCAACTTTGTGTTATTTTATTCAAATAACACGGCATGCTCGCATTGAATTTTATACAGTATTTTTTCAATAATATAACGATATAACGTGCTTTGTCATGTGTCACATCAGTTGGAAATAGAAGTTGAAATGAATAGTATTTTTCTCTACGATTATTAAAGGCCTAAGGCTAACTGTACGTGGCCTAAGCATATAGCATGGTCCAAAACTTTAACCTCAGACCTGAGGGCGTGGCCATTATCATGGACCTATAGCTCTACCAGCTCGAACTAGTTTGATGGCAAAACTTTCTTCATTGTTGGAGACATGATGAGTGACCACCACACCATACATGTCCTTTTGAAGCATCTGAAAACCATGTGTTGATTCTGATTGGATCGTCCAATATCTTATAATAGTACTTGGAATTTGGAAGAAAACACTGGCACCACCACTGCTAGGGAAACTCAGACATGTCCCAGCCAAAAATGCCAAATAAGTACCGCTTCTTCAGTCAATTGGTTGAAAACGCCAAAGCATTAACCCCCACTAGAATAGTTTCATGTTTTTGGGAAAAAGCCAAAACCACATTTTATCCCACTCAAGAACACTGACTTTTTTTACCCTAAATTTGCCAAAACTTAAGCAGTAAAAGTAAAAATTCTAAGATCAATTACCCATGGAGAGATGAATTAGCTTGTGAGTTAGGTTAAGAACAGCAATCAATATCACAAAACAGATAAAGAAGAAGAGAATAAAAGACAGCATCATCATTTTAGAGTATCATGCAATTCTCTCATCACATGGCAAGTACTCTTTTGATGAAGTTGCATTGCAACCACCCCCATTTCTTTTCTTTTTTAACAATAATCCCTCTCTTTTCTTTCTATCTATCCTGTCTCCTTATCTAAAACTTCACTAAACAAATATACTTCTTGCCGGCAATTGATCACATTCTAAATAGTAAAATCCCAACAAAACAACTGTGAAATTATATATATGTATGTAACAAACCAAACCAACTCCATCATGCCTGTCTCTTTGGGTAGACATGAAAGAAACCCCATAGCCCATTAGCCTCTTGTCCACATGAAACAGGAACTTGTAGGCTGAATTAGGGCATAGAGGTAGGCTTTGTCCACCTTACAAGCAACAAAAAGAAAGAGCTAGCTACCTACATTATATATATATATATATATATATGTGTGTGTGTGTATATGTATGTGATACACTTGGAGTTGGAATATTCTACTTTATCATCACAAGCTAGCTAGGCTTGTTTTTGCATGAGTTGAGTGGAGTTGAGTTGGGGGTTCCATTTGGATATGATTTGCTGCACAAATAATATTTTCTCCAATTGGCATGGCATGTCTCCCCTCTGGAGGTACTCAACTTCTCCACACATGGCCTCTGCCACCATCTACAGTTTGCTAGCTACCACTGCTCAGCTCTCAGCTTCTCACTCTCAAACCCATCATTTTCTATCCCCTCTGAGGTCGACACGTGGGGCCGTCCTAGATGTTGGTGGTGGTCATAAAGTAAACACGCATACATGGCCACTGGTTTAATCTATATGTGTTTGGTTGTGTTGTGTTGTGTTGCCTTGAAATAATGCTCGCACACACACAACACAGCTACAAGATATTTAGGAGAGATGCAATGCAATCCAAGTATATATATTTAATATATGCATTGTTCTGTGTTAGACTTTTAGTTAGGGCTGATATAGTTTCGTGGGTCACCTCGAAAGGGATAACGTTTTCTGTGTTCAAACTCCAAGCTTTCTTTCCAGCCATTAGATCATGATAATATTAATATCATATGGGTGCAAAAACAACCGACCAAGAAAAAGAAAATAAATAAAAAAGCACAATGGGTATGATAAATCTTAAAACTATCATATCTAAAAGAGTAGTGTGTGAAGTATTGTGCCACAAACAAACAGAGAGGTGTTCAATCTCCGTGCTGGATTCGCATGGTAGAAGAAGCCCACGAACTATTGTCCCAGGGCCAGCAAACCATTTGGCTCAGCGAAGTTGGACTGGACTGGACCAGATGGAACATCAATATCAACGGTAAAGCCCATTCTATTTATAAGCTCAAAGGGATTCACTTCACACCATAATCATATGTGCAGCGTAGCCTGCCCTTCTGTTGGGAACTCCGTTCTCATAGCTCCTCCCTAGCCAGATGAATTGCACCGATATTGTCCTCAACTTAACCACCTAATCCAGGTTCATTTGGGTTTAATCACAACCGTGTCTCAAGATACATTGGTACAATTTAGGAAGAACTGCCACTTGATTGATCTCTTTATGGAACATCCACTTTTCCGATTTGGGACAATTGTATTTGATGCAGAATTCCTAACAACCGATCATTCGTCAGCATCATCATGGTTCTAAATGGGGGCTGAGCATATAATGCTCATAAACCCAAGATATGGTATCTTGACAGCTCACTCAGATAAAGCCCATGTTGCGTGCTTACACACACAATCTGCGCAATTTGATCCCCCTAGCACTTCACCAAGTACTAATTGTAATTTGTTTTTCTTGCATAGCCTTTTGATTTTGGGAGAAGTAAGGTTATGATTTATAAAATCCAGCACTACCAGCACACGGTACCAAAAAATATACTTCCTATTGAATTGGGTTGCATATTTCATAGGTGGGTGTGCTACATTGCCATGTGTGTTGAAGAATATAAAGTTGCATATCGGAAAATTGAAAAAATAAATACAATATATAATGAATTGTTCTACTACTAATAGGTCGTTTGTGATAAAATTCCACACATACTGGGATTTATAGGTAGTTATATTGGGGGCAATATTATATCGATGTTGCTAATAATGGGTTACTAACCGATCTATCTAAAATTTGGCAATGCGATGATACTAAAACAGTTAAACTAGTTTAATTGCAATTGAGTTGAAATTGGAAACTTTAGAGCATCCACAATGGGCTCCCTAAACCACCTCCTTAGACAAATTTTAGAGATGAATGATAAAAATGCAACACCAACCACGCTCCCTATCCACATTCTAAAATAGGGAGTCATCTAGGAGTTCCTAAATCTGGGGAGAGAGAAAGGACTCCTAGTGGCTCACTATAATTTAATGCTGCTTTATTTAATGAGTATTTCAAACCTTTATTTAATGCTAACAATTTTTTATTTTATTTTTTAATAAAGATCGACCAATCAAAAAAGAGTTATAGCATTTATGACTCTCCAAATGAGGGAGTATGGTTGGAGTTGAAATTTTTTAGAGAGCTCCTAAAATAGCTTTCTTATATTCTTAGCCAAATTTTAGCTAAGAAATAGAGAGCGTCATTGTGGATGCTCTTATACACTCATGAGTAGTAATTATTCATGTAGACGATTGGGTTATTGATGAAGCAAAAGAGCCATTTAATTCCAAGCTCCAATCATAAGGGTTGGTTGGTTTTCAGAATGAATTGCACCCACAAATGCCATTGCCATCTTTGAATTAATTCATGTAGGCTCTAGCTAGCTACCGTATAATTTTGTTGCGACACAAAAAAGAAAACCTTTTGCGTCTGCGCAATATAAGCTAAAGAGAAAAAGGGAAACAAAGCAAAGAATCTATCACCTTTTGTATAAATTAAAGATAAAGTGTACAAAGTTTCCTTTTTCCATGCAAAAAATGCCAAACAATACGTCACCGTTCCCTCACTTCCTGCGTGCTACATTTACGTATTAATCAAGACATCAAATCTCTCACCTCCTGCCATTTCCATGATGAACCCAGAAAACCCTAAATTGAATTGAAAGTTGAAGCCAACCGTACACAAAAATGATGAGACGAAAGAAGGGGGGAGAGAGAGAGAGAGAGAGAGAGAGAGAGAGAGAGAGAGAGAGAGCCCTCAGCCAAACCCAATTCGTCAAACCTTGTTATATATAGCCTGAGTAGCATTCATTTGGATTTTGCTCTTCAATGGTCCACACCACGTACATATGTGGCTCCTACCAAACATTCCAGCTAAGAAATCAATTATCTCAAATCAACCTCACGTTACAGTTTTACCCCTTGGGATTGTCCAAAACCTCACCTTCCTACCAGCTAGCAGTAACAGTAGCAGTGCAGGCAGGCAGGCAGAGGCAGTGTCTCAAGCCAAGAACCCACGTTGGCAAAGACTAAAAAGAATATATTAATTGCATTTTACAAACACTGGTTCTTGTAATTATCTGTGCTTTACGTCACTCCAAGCCAAGAACCCACGTTGGTTGGACTGTCCATTGCCTTTTGGCATATATGAAAATTTTGTCTTCCCAAGTGCACTATTTGAAGACAATTTGATCTTTTTTATTGGTAGGAAAAGTGGTTTTTTCTTACCAGAAGAACTAAAATATATGCTTCATTCATATTTATCTGTGAAAACTAAAAATCTTCGTAATATAATTAAGCATGAAATGACAGAAGCCTGCATAAAGTACATTGTGGGATAAGAACTTTAAGCTATGCATGTCTGAGGCGTTGCAGCGGAAAGGGTAAAACCAAATTGACTGATGAGTTGAATTGGTGCACAATTAATTGAAAGAAACAGAGAAAAAGAATTCTGATTTTTCAGAACTTGGGTGCTGCAGCATCCAGCCGAATCCTCATCATCTTTCAAATCCAAAAACAGAGATCAAAGGGGTGGCACCGTGGCAGCACAGCGAAGAAGAAGAAGAAGAAAACACCACAAGGTCGAACAACACCTTTTAATTCCAATCGATCATGCATTCATTGCCCATCAGAAAAAAAAAACCCCAGTTGCATAATGATTTTTGCTTACATGAACAAATTGTGTATAAATATTTTATATTGCAGGCAGGGCATCACGAGAGTGTCAGAGGGAGGAGACATTGAGGTATCTTTTCTTTTTTAGGACACGTCGCTCCAGAAAGTTATGAGAGAGAGAAGAAGGAGACGAATATTGTTGAGCTTGAGATTGAGACGCTGCTTTTTCTTTTACTAGAAGAAAAGAAAGAAAAAAGCTTTTCCCAGAATCCGGAGTTGCCCATCGGAGCAGTGAAGATCCGAGCGTTTCAATCGCTTTCCCACCACTGTTTTCCTTGGTTTTTTATTTATTTTCTCTTTTGGCACTTTTCTGGTGAGAATCTGATTCTACCGAGGTGACAGAGGTGAGTTTACTCGTTCCTCTGTTATTATTTTACTCTAATTTTTTTGGATTATCTGCTAAGTGGAACTTCCTAATTCCTATTATTAAACTTGGGATTTGTGGCACATCCGTCTTTTTTATTTGTTCAAAAAAATTCAAAAACAAAAGAGAGAGAGAGAGAGAGAGAGAGAGAGAGAGAGAAAATTCCCCTGTTTTTTTCAAAGATTTTATTCTTTAACAACTCTGTTTCACCACTTTCCGCAACAAGGAAAGCTACTTAAGATTGTGAGCTGTAAGCCTGAAACCGACCTTGTCTCTTCCTCTAAACACTTCAACTTTCAACTGCGTTTTACTTAGTCTTCACATTCAATCTTTTAAAACCATTCTCTTCCTCTTTTTTCTTCTCTCTCTGTCTTATCTCTCTCAGCTCAAACAGAGTGCTAGTGTGAAAATGGGCAGAGCAACAAGGTGGTTCAAGGGGTTGTTTGGAATTAAGACCAAAGACAAAGAGCACAAAGCAAATTCAAGTTCCAGTGACTTCAAAGACACGAAGGGGTCAAGCTTTGGGAGAGAAGATGCAACCCTACTGTGTCACAACCCAGCCACTATACCTCCCAACATATCACCATCTGAGGCAGCTTGGCTGAGATCATACTACAATGAAACAGAGGAGGAGCAGAACAAGCACGCAATTGCTGTGGCAGCTGCGACGGCCGCCGCTGCTGATGCCGCAGTTGCTGCAGCTAACGCAGCCGTGGAGGTTGTCCGCCTCACCAGTCATGGCAGAGGCACCATGTTTGGTGGTGGAAGAGAAAGATGGGCCGCTGTGAAAGTTCAAACTGTTTTTAGAGGCTATTTGGTAAGTTTATCTTTTGCTCATTGTGCAACAAAAGCACACATTTTTATGATTTTTGTTTTAGTAATGCTTGTGCCATGTTCAAAGTTTCGAACTTTTTCAAACCAACACTTATCTTGGGGTTTTTTTTTTTCTTTCTGTTCTTTTGGATTTGGCAAACGCAGGCCAGAAGAGCACTGAGAGCTCTGAAAGGACTGGTGAAGTTGCAGGCGCTAGTTAGAGGGTATTTAGTGAGGAAGCAGGCCACGGCAACTCTGCACAGTATGCAAGCTCTCATTAGAGCACAAGCCACAGTTCGTTCTCATAAAACTCGGGGGCTCATCAACACCACCCCCAACAACATTGAAGCCAATAGCAGATTTGAAATCCGTGCACGAAAATCCAGGGTACTTCAAATTTACTAACAACCCATGTTTCAAAATTGTATCATCAACATTTAAATCTCTGGCAATAATTGAATCTGACATAATAATTAATGTTCACTCAAACTCTTGCAGGAGAGATTTGATGACACTGGGAGTGAGCACACAGCTCCAAGCCACAGCAGAAGGCTCTCTGCTTCTAATTTGGACGCCAATATTGATGAAAGTCCCAAGATTGTGGAGGTTGATACAGGCAGGCCTAAATCTAGGTCACGCAGAACAAACACTTGTGTATCTGAATTCAGTGACGACCCAACTTACCAACAAGCACTGTCTTCTCCAATCCCATGTCGAGGACCTGCCCGGCTATCGATCCCCGATAGCCGGAATTTCCCAGAATCCGACTGGGGACTAGCTGGAGATGAATGCAGATTCATTTCCACAGCACAAAGCACACCGCGGTTTGTGAATTCATGTGGGGCTAGTAATTTGCCTGGCACACCTTCAAAGAGTGTTTGTGCTGACAATTTTTTCAGAGGGTATGCTCCAAATTACATGGCGAGCACTCAGTCTTTCAAGGCCAAGTTGAGGTCTCATAGTGCTCCTAAGCAGAGGCCAGAGACAGGACCAAAGAGGAGACTTTCACTTCATGAAATGTTGGAGTCAAGAAGTAGTCTAAGTGGGGTGAGGATGCAGAGGTCTTGTTCACAAGCTCAGGATGCCATTAATTTCAAGAATGCTATAATGAGCAAGCTTGATAGGTCCTCTGGAATCTGGTAACTCAGATTCAGAGGGGAACTAAGCTAGTTGCAATAATCAAGTTCAAGCGAAAAAAACCTTGTTGGTTAAAGAAAGAATAGGGGGAAGGGAATATACTAGATAGATGTGTTTGTAGATTATAATTTACTGTTTATTATAGTGAGATGTAATCTCATTTTAATGTTGGCTTCTGATAAATTATGATGGGGTTATTATGTGTTAATTATTCAATTGTACCAAACAAACAACTCCCTCTTCTTTTGAAAATGTGACAACAAAAGTTGACAAATTCCATGTGAATCACATTTGCAATATGAAAAAATTTCCAAGCTTTTTCAAACAGGTACCATGATTGACCACAAAAACAACAAAAACTGGAAAAGTTTGAAACCACCCTGCTTCTCCAAGAACATGATGTTCTCCCCCATGTGTTTTTCCTACATTGATTTTGTTTGTTTGATTGAGTCAACTCTGTTGAAAAATATGACCCCACATGTTTTAATTAGGTAAGGCCTCTTCCAATGCTTTTAATTTGGCTGTAGAAGTGAGCACATTTGATCCAAGAAACCAATTAACAAGCTTCAAAGAAGAAACTAGTTGCGAATTAGGGTCTAGTCCAGTGAAAAAAAATCTTAACTTGCATACTGGAGGTCTTAAGTTCAAACTCTCATGACATCTTAGTTGTGTGTGTGTGAGAAATCTCATCCCCTGTAGTTTAGATTATCGCTTATACTTTAAAAAACAAACCGATTATCAAGCTTCAATAAAGAAACCAATTACCGAGTTTTGATAGGAAGTTAATTATCAAACTTATACAGCAACTAATTGGGTTGGTGGGTTCCATACTTCCATTCTAGCCCATACTTGAAAAGTCGCTCTACTGTCCTTATCAATTAATATTAAAAAAGACAAATCCTCTCCCATAATTTCTAGTTCCTTTCCTTGACCAACTAAAACTTTTCTGAAAAAATTGGGGAACAATTAATAGTTTCAATTCAATCATGGTCATCAATTACTCTTGAAAGTAAATTTTTTGTTCCAGTTTCCAAGGGGATATAAGCCAATGATGATTAGCTTTCGACCTGTCACAGAGGGTATAGGAAGGCTGAAGCCACATTCTTTTCAAGCTTTCCTGATGCAGAGGCAAGCTTTGCAGAAAACAAAGCTTTACTGGGAGCTATGTCCTTTTGCTAGATTTTTCATGAAAGGGAGCTTTCAAGATTGGTTCTTTTGGGGTTTAGCTCAGGCAGAGCCTCAGAGATCGCAGATAAAAATGCTTCCCCTCCAATTCCAAGTACATTGGCCTCCTCCTTTGCCCTCAGGACAAGAAGAGAACACAAAAAATTAGCTATGGATCCGAACCCACTTTTTGCCAAGCTCATGAATTTACTTGAAATTGGGTTTCACTTGTTATACATCCAAAATTCCAATGGGTTTTGGTCCTGGGCCAATATCCCTTCTTCTCAGACTTGTCTCAGGGTTTTAGCTTAGTCAGTTGAAAACCCATTGGCTCATAGCCCAGTGGAAGCCAACCCAACTGATATTTACCCCAAAACATGGAATTTGCACCAACTATATGTCAACTATTTTGACAAATTTATATTCTAAATTACTCTAACATACGAAGAGGGAAATTGAACTCGAGTGCAAAGGGTGGATACATTGTTTTTCTCAACTGCCCTAACCCATATATGCTCCTATATGTCAACTATTAAGCCATAATATAAGCAACACGGGATTATACAAGGACTTCTTTTTAACTTTTTATTTGAAAAAATAATTTTGGTATTTTAGTTGATCAATCATTACAATTTGATCCACTCAGAGCCATCTATGAAGGTAAGGGAAATAAAAGGCTTGGCTTCCTCATCAGTGAGCTCTCTAGACCACGAAACCCTCCCTGCAAAGCGAGCTCCTGGTCCAGTGCACTTGTATTGCCCATAAAACACAGTCCTGCAAATAACAATACATCATTACACAGCCAGCCTCATGCGCATGCCACTAACACCAAATTGAAAATGCCAAAAAAGCGTCAAAAAACAAACCAAACTGAAACTATATGTAGCAGAGTAGCACCAAACTTTACATAGATGCTGGCGTGGCTTTTCTTAAACTATGCCAACATGAAGGGCGTAATGTATGAGTAGGTGGATAGGGTTATTTTATGGTGCATCACACGTAGATTTTGCAGAAGAAAAAGGGCAAAAGGACATACACTCAATGGTGAGGTTAGGTCCTCTGCGTAACCGCCCTTCCCATTTGGTTATCAAATGCCAAAAGTGCCCTATTGCCTACACATATATATTTTTGAAAAGCCTAGATGTGATTCAGTAGATAAATTTGATTGGTTGGTTATGATGAAATTTAAACTACCTACCCGGATAAGTTATCTTGTGTATTTGATACAACAATGTACCATCCTGACATATCACACGACATGCTGATGTGACGAATCGAACAAAATTAAGGGAAAAAAATAGAGGGAGAGAGAGAGAGAGTTGCATACATTTCACGGTTAGGGTCGCCCCAGTTATACCAGCCTTTAGGCATGATAATGTTGTCCATATATGTGTATGCAAAGACCACCCTGGAGAAAGGACCCCATGCCCTACCAAGATAGAGTGCTCCTGAGCCCGTGACCTTACAGTTTACAAATGAGAAGCCCGTTTCCTCCAACAGGCTGCTCCTGCCTTGTGCTGTGAGCGCTCCTATGTTCTGTGCTATTGCGTGCACGTGACATCCCTGCACTTGCAAATTTCAATATTAACATAAAACCTTTTACATAATCATGTGAATAGTGATGTGAGAGAGTCTTGCAGCTGCAATGTCAAGACACATACAAGACACCAAGAACTAGAACACAACCTCATGATTTGACAACAGCCAAAGTTAAATGTTGTGTTCTGTACATATTGAAAATTACCAAAAAAAGAAACATCAGAAATCATTTTTGATAATTTTGGATCAAAGCTTGAATGTTTATGTTTCTGGACTTCAAAAATTTTCAGAAAAAATGCTTAGAGAGAAGGTGAAAAATAAGTTAATCTAACCTCAAATAGGGAGAGTCCATTTCCAAAGATGAAGTCCACTGAACCTTCAATGTAGCAATCCTTGTAATAATGCCTTCCCAAATGATCATAGAGTGTATCTTGTGCCCCCAAGAATTTGCACCCCAAGAAGGCTGCTGTATCTGCTGATATTCTAAATGCCACTGCCTGCTTACCAATTGCTCCTGGTGCTGGGACTGGTGTAGTGTTCTACACATTAATTGTAAAATTATATATCACATATATGTATGTAATGTATATATATATATATATATATATAGAGAGAGAGAGAGAGAGAGAGAGAGAGAGAGAGAGAGAGATTACCTTGAATGTGATGTTCTTGGCAATGAAATAAGGAGAATTCACAGCAAAAGTTGCAGAATTGTAAGTCCCCATAGGTTGTTTCTTTGGACCAGATGGTGTTTGAGCAGTGTCTCCCCATTGGACAATTGTTTTGTCTGCCCCTGCTCCTTCTATGGTTATATATGATTTCAATGGAGGTATATTAACCTTCTCCCTGGAAAAAAAATACATTTAACATTTCACAGCTTCAGAAATTACCACATAACAACAATGAAAGACAGAGCATAGGACAATTCATGAAGAAAAGAGCATTTCTTGGTCAAAGACAGAGACCAAGTCCAAGAGTGATCTGAATTCTGATCACAAGGAACAAGACACTCACGTGTAGACCCCTGCATGGACCTTGATGACCACTCTCAAGAGATTGATGAAAGGGAGAGAGTCAATGGCGTCCTGAATGGTTGTGAAGTCTCCAGCAGCACGGTTCTTAGCCACATGCAGAGTGTAAGAAGGGAAGAGCTTATTTTTGGCTGTCTTGAACACAGAGTGCTTCAGCCTTCCAACAAACCTCACCCACTTCATGAATTGCTGTTCTGAGAATTGGGCTTGTGTCATGTTCTTGGTCAAATGTGCTTTCCCAGCTGAATTCCCAGGTCGAAGTCCCTTGCTGTGGCATTGTGTTTGGGTTGAATTGAAGAGAAGAAGAACAATAATAACATAGAAAATGTGTTGGAATGTTGGCATTTAATTTTAAAACAGAAAAAAGAATTGGGACTGAAATGAGGAGGAGAGAATATGAGTATAAAGAGTAATAGAGAGTATGTCAATTAGTTTGGAATTCCAAGTGCTTTTATATATAGAGAAAGGCTTGTGCTTGTGCTTGGTTTGGTTTATATATGTAGAGAATGGCTTTTGTTTTAGGTGGAAAGTTATGCTGAATTGGAGAATCAATGACAGTCTAGACAGAGTTAAGAAGTCACGGGTGCTTCTATGGACATCCATGTAAATTGTAATGTGAGAGAGAGAAAGAGAGAGAGAGAGAGGAGAAACAATCTAAGCCACAGGACAGGTTGTGCGCTTTCTGCTTATAAAAATTGTTGTTTCTAAATATTTTTTTTTGTTGCACTTTTTGAGTTGCTGTTTGGTGTTGCCCGTGAGTGTCTCTCCTTCTGTTTGCGTGTGAGTAGAGTATATTCTTGAGGGGGTGTGACTGCTCATATTAATATAATGTTTATGAGTTACAACCCACTTTCTGCCTACCCTTGAATCATGGCCGTCCAATAACATGGGTCCAGTTAAGCACCATTTGATTACAATCACAGAATGTGACCCCGGATCAGATTAGTTTAGCTGATAAATAAGTGGTAGTTGGTGTGCAGCTGAGAGGATTGCTAGGCCCACTTGCAGAAGAACTATTTTGGCTCTTAGCAGCATGGCAACATTAACTTGTGTGGGGAATTTTGGTGATGTGAAAGAAACCAGAAGAAGGATTATTATTGTGTTGTGAAAAGATCAAATCTCCACCTTTCTCTCTTTCTGTGCTTTTTCTGCCCAAGTTCTATTTTTTGGTATTCTTTAGCACTTCCACTACCAGTTGGTGCTGCTGCTTTGGGCCCAACTGGTAGTGGCTTAACTAATTCAAACGTGAAGAAACAGATCTAACAAAGAAAGAACATTTTCTTATTGAAGAAACAGATAATATTTTCCAAAAGAAAACCACATCTGGCATTTGTGTAAATGAATCTTTCATACTCTGTCATATCTTTGTTTTAACTTTTAGGCTTAACTAATTCATTTGCCCCATGAACTTGTATCTAGCTTTTGATTTATCCTCTGTACATTTTTTATTTATAGAAAATTAAGGATATGAACTCCTTTATTTCACCAATTTCCCCATGCAGTCTAAATCTGCAACATTTTCATCCAATTTGTCGTTGAAATAATATTCTCTCTCTCTCTGTAGGTGGGTTGCAGGCTGATTCTGGGGGGGGGGGGGGGGGGGGGGGTGTTTTTGGCCGGGCGCGCGGGGGGCGGCCGCGGGGGGAGGGGGGAAGGGATGGGTTTGAGTCTAGGGGTGGATCTCTCGAGGGGGAAGGCTGGGGATGGGATGGGATAGGTTTGCGTTTTGGTCTGTGGTCGATGGGGTTGTGGGAGGAGAAAGCATGGAGAAAGAGTTGGGGGGGTTGGCGATAGGTTTGGTCCGGTGGATCCAGGAATTTTTTTTTTCCTCTTCTTCTATTTTGTTGTTGTCAATTTTCCTCTTTTTCTTTAATTTTTTTTTAAAAAATAATAATTTAACTAAAAATTGAATGGAATGTTGAGAATATAGACGGTAAGAGAAATTAGAGAAAAAAAGGAGTTTATATTCTTAATTTTTTATATAAAAAAATTAGTATAAAGTGTTAAACGAAAATTAGGTACAAGTTCAAACAGTTAAGCCTAACTTTTAATCTGTTTTCTTTACTCTGGAAAGTTAGAAGACGATAAGAAAGTTAGAAATAGTATCAATCATTATGAACACTGGTTTACTTTCTGTCGGTCAGGATAACATTTTCCTACTAACAAGATAAAAAATACATAAATGGTTTGGCTGCTGGCTTCGTCTTCTACAGTTGATGGTTTAAGCTTCTGTCAAGGCATCATTTTTCTATTAATTCATAATTAAAAATTAAATCTTTCTTTGATCATTATCTAATAAAACATATGACTGCTGATATGAACTAGGATCATCCCATCATCCATATTTACACAAAATAAACAAACTTCTCTCACTTTTACTCAAAGATTGAATTTTTGTTTTTGTTTTTGGACTAAATGATCATCAAAACAGTAGCAGCCACTTTACTAGCCATAGCCACCTCCTCAATCTTCCTTCTCTTTTCTCCTACCCCAAAATCCTTCTACCACTCTCTCTTCATATCCAGCTCACTTTCAGACAATGCCTCCATATCCAACCACCTCCACACCCTCACCCGCAGGCCCCACGTGGCAGGCCAAGAAGCCAACGCAGAGGCAGCAGCCTATGTCCTCTCCATCTTCACTTCCTCCAGCATCAAAACCCACATAGCCCCTTACCCTGTTGCCCTCACTTACCCTGTGTCACGCTCCTTAACCCTCACACCTTCACCCCAAGAACCCCAATCCCAAATCAATTTCAATCTCCAGCAAGAAATCTATGATGGTGATCCTTTTGCTGATGTTGCACATGAAGTCTTGCCCACTTTTCATGCTTTTGCAAAGTCAGGCACTGTCACTGCTCCTGTGGTTTATGTCAATTATGGAAGTCTAGAGGACTATGAGGTTTTGAAGCAAATGGGTGTGAATGTTTCTGGTTCAATTGTATTGGCAAGGTATGGGAAAATTTATAGGGGAAGTATTGTGCAGACTGCATATGAAGCAGGTGCTGTTGGGGTTTTGGTTTATACAGATAGGAAAGACTATGGTGGAGGAGGAGGTGAGGAGAAATGGTTTCCAGATGGTAAGTGGTTGCCACCAAGTGGGGTTCAGGTGGGGACAGTTTACAATGGGCTTGGTGATCCTACAACACCAGGATGGGCTAGTAGTGAAGAGGGTGAAAGACTTTCAGATGATGAGGTTGAGAAGGCAGGGGATGTTCCATTGATACCTTCACTGCCAGTTTCGGCAGCAGATGGTGAAACCATTTTGAGAGCTATTGGCGGGCAAGTGGCAAATGATGATTGGCAAGGAAGTGAAGATGCCCCAACTTACATGGTTGGGCCAGGTCCTGGGATTGTTCATCTCAGTTACACTGTAAGTCTGAAATCAACTTTAAGTGAAGCAATTTCATGAGTTCTGTGTATTCTTATGCACATTGTATGTATGACTAGTATAGCATAGCCAGTAGGACCAATTATGCAACAAGTTGCTATTTTTGCATTGATTCTGGATGTTGGTTTCACCATTTTAGGGAAAGCAAGTGATAGGGACAATTGAGAATGTTATTGGTGTAATAGAAGGAACGGAAGAACCTGACCGGTATGTTAGAATTGTTTTTTGCAAGTATAAGTCAAGCTTTTAAGTATCAGCTGCATCTATTAGGAGGATTGAATATGTGCATCCAACAACAGAAAATGATACTAGCTAGTACTCATCATAATGGATGGACTTCTATGAATGAAAGAAACCCACTTTAAAATGATTAGTCAATCTGTTTCTAAATACATGTAGATTTGTCATTCTGGGTAATCACCGGGATGCATGGACATTTGGAGCCGTTGACCCGAATAGTGGCACTGCAGCGCTGCTAGAGGTAACTGTGGATTTAGATTGTATACCCTCATTAAGTTCCTTCTCAACAAGGAAAAGTCAACACAAGCTGCTTTCAATGTGTAATGTAGATTGCCCAAAGATTAGGGAAGCTGCAGAAAAGAGGGTGGAAACCTCGACGTACCATTGTCTTGTGTAATTGGGATGCTGAGGAATATGGCCTGGTCTCTCTCTTCCCCTATCTTTCTATCTATCTATCTATCTATATCACTCTATGAAATTTTAAACTAAACACTGTTTACAGATAGGATCAACTGAATGGGTAGAGGAAAACAGGCAAATGCTAGCTTCAAGGGCTATAGCTTACTTGAATGTTGACAGTGCAGTATATGGACCAGGATTCTGGGCCTCTGCAACTCCACAGCTTGATGAACTGCTTAAACAAGCTACTCAACAGGTATTACAAAATAGAGTAGTTATACTAACACTACTTATGAATGTGATGCAGTATTAGAATTCAACAGAGATCATGAACACAATGGTCCTTTGATCCAAAAATATGATTGTGAAATTTTGAATTCCTTCTGGTCTCTGCCATAATTTCTCATTCATCTCAATCATCCTCAAAATTGACTTTTGAAGGTTCAAGACCCGGATAATTCATCACAAACTCTCTACCAATCATGGGTTGGTTCCAGCAGTTCACCTACGGTAAGCAATTGCTTCACAGAAATCCTTCATACTATAATGTCAATGAGGTTTCACAAGGACAAAGCTGCATCCAGTTATTTTAAGAAAAAGATGGAATTTATGTACTTCTATGTAACCAGTAATGTGCAGTTCAAGTTTTGCACTAATTTACTGCAGATAAATTACAATTTTATGATGTTTTTGATAAAATGGATTTTAAAGACTTAATGAAACTAGTAATCCTAAAAAAAAGCTGTATTTTGCATTTATAAGATTAACAGGTTGGGAAGTGGAGAATCAGATTTTGCAGCTTTTGTTCAACATGTTGGAATTCCAGCAGCTGATATGGCTTTTGGTAAAGGTAACACATTTGATGTGGCTTAAACTCACACACCATGGTTGCCACTGAAAAAATAGGAAGCATTATTCTTCAAATTACAACAAATAATTTTTAAAATTGCAGGATACCCAGTATACCATTCGATGTATGATGACTTTATATGGATGCAAAAATTTGGTGACCCAATGTTTCAAAGGCATGTTGCAGGTCAGCTCTAAGTTTTCTTTTTTAATAATTCTAGTTTCATCCCCTCGAGAGTTTAAATGCCACCTCAATTGATTTCATTGGTATTGAAAACAGTGGCAAGTTTATGGGGTTTGGTAGCTCTTTGGCTAGCGGATGCAGAATTCTTGCCCTTTAATTACCACTCGTATGCACTGGAGCTACAGGTATGGCAACATTATCTTCCAATACAAATGATTTGCAGGGGTGTTTATTGACAAAAATAATTGCAATCAACCTTGAATGACAGAGACACATGAAAGACTTGGAAGATGAGCTTCCAGATAAGAACATAAACCTAGCTCCTTTGTTCAAGTCCATTGAGGAGCTCAAGAAAGCAGCGACGAAAATAAACAGCCAGAGAGAGGTATCAATTGTGTCTTAGAAATCATGTCTGTATTTCCATTTCACATGTGTACCAAAACTCAAGCATAATTCTCCAGGAAATAGAACAACACAAAAGTTGGCAATTTATAGGGAAGAATGATCATTTTAAGGTGAGAGAGCTGAATGACAGACTAATGATGGCAGAGCGTGCATTTACAGACCAAGATGGG